TGCTATGGAACCTTCTAAAGAGTGTGTGTGCGTAAAACAGTTGTCACAATTTCACTACATCTTGAAAAAAGCTGCATTTTTCAGGCTCCATCCGCACCAGCTAGCGGAGCGACTCCTCGTGCTTCACCATCTCCGAGGTCATCACCGAAACCAGGACCGAGTACAGGAACTTCATCCACTTCGGTTCCTTTCCCGGGTGGAGCACCACCACCCCCACCTCCACCACCACCAGGTGGTGGCTTTATGCCGCCACCTCCACCACCTCCTCCAGGAGCACCTGCACCACCGCCGCCTCCACCGTCTAATACGCCTCAAAAAACCCGCAAATCGCCTTCGCCATTTCCACAATTGGGAGGAAAATCGCCGGCCGAAATAGACCTTGGCGAATTGCTGAACTCAATTCAAGTGAGACTTTTTTCATCAATGGGCATGCGATCGGTAGAGTCTCGTAGTAAAACTTGTATGTTTCAGGGAGGTGTACGCTTACGAAAGACGGTCACCGTTGATAAAAGTGGACTGATTGTGGATGAGTCCTTGAAACAGCAAAGCGTTAAGCTGGTCGAACCAGCACCGTCTACTGCATATATCCCACCCAAGAAAGATCCTCCTAGAAAGGATTTCCAAAGACCGGCATCTCCTCGAAACCCTTCATATTTACAGACTGATGCATCTGATGATGAAAGGTAGATATCCTAGCACAACCCTCTTGTCTAACATTATACTTCTTTCCTTCTCAGATTTTTGACCCCTACTGGGCGAGGCTCCGAGTACGGTACACCTGAGCCAGATTCTCCACGTTTTTCACGAAAATCGCCCGCCAAGGAAGAAAAGAAACCAGACGTTGCATTCACTGAGAAAAGTCCTGAAAGTCACCAAAGAGGAACTGGAACAGGTACTTATGTTTGTGCTAATTTCTTTGCTTGTGAGAGCGTATTCGTAAAACGTGAATAATCTACCTGAAGTGTGAAGGATGTTCGAAAAAGAACTTCTGGAACGAATATTAGCGTACAGAAAAAGGGATGGCACTTTTAGTCCCTTCTCTACGTTCAGATGCCATTGGGCCATAGAGGAACAGAGTTGGGAGCAAAACGTTGGGAAACAGTTCAGGAGATCGGGCATGGCCGCCTACTTTTTGCACGCTTCACGTTTAATAGCTTCATTTCAAAAATGGGCAAACTGCACGAGGCTTTTTTTACTTCAGGCTCTGAAGATGAAGAATTATTATAAAATGGAAACCATTTTATAATAAAACGAACGGCGCTATCGTATAGTTGATAGTTGATAGAGTTCACATATGGCAAAGCGAGGAGGTCATTCTCTTCCAGCTCAGTTTTAGAAGGGTGAACGACCAGAAATCGCGCAGCTGTTTCGAAGGTTAGAGCGAAGTTCATCAGTCCGGCGTTGGCTCCCATCGACCAGAGCACATCGTTGTTGGGGAATCCCCAATGGGGGGGGGGTTGTATTTAGCCGCCAGGAGAGGGGGAGTCGTATTTGGGCTGGAAAAAATTTATTTTGATAGTTGATTTTTCTCGCTTCACGGACGTTGAGGGGAGGATCGTACTTGGTCATTGTTGGAGAGGGGGGGGTTGCATTTACGTTTTGGCGTTGTAACCGCCCTCTCCGGCTCGACGGCTCATTCGGTGAGGATGGAACAGAGGGCCGGAGAGGGGGGTCGTACAGAGCACCGACGAAAATCTCAGCCCACTGAGTGCCCTGAGGAGCACCTGTTCACGCTAATGAATATGCGGCGAGAACTTGAAACGGAGGGAAATCAAGGCTCATTGATTGTCTGAATTTCACTAGATAGGGCGGTAATACTGAACGGCGCCAAAAGTCGGGGCGTGGGCGTGGTGTGAAAGCGCACATTTCAGACGGCGGAGATAGCAGAGACATACCATATGACCTTCCGCCGCATTCGCACCAAGGATCCACAACTCGCGAAGTGATTGGGGCGGTGCGACGACGCTCTCGCAGACTCTCTTCTGCTTCTCCCAAGTCGACTAGCTCTCCCTATGTCCTAAATCCCAGTCAACCACTCTAGAAATACTACGCAACGGTGCGCGCGCTGGTCTCCGACTGGACAGTAACGCTTTAAACCCCAATGATGTCACGACGGGTAATGTTGTTCCTAGCCAGGGAACGCTCAGACAGAGTGTTAGAAGAATAATGCGCACTGCAGTGCTGCTTATAAGCACACATCTATGCTGGCCAGCAGACAAGGGCCATCAGCCGACCTGTCCGTCAGTTCCATAGCGCCCCTCGAATAGCTCTTGCAAGCGCAAAAAACAGGTGCTGAAGTGAGCTGCGATGGCCCCAAGCCGGGATTTGACGACCACAGTCTATATTAGAATCTGTAGCTGCTCTATGTGAACGATACAGCTCCTCGGGTTTCGTGAACTATACGTTTCCATAGGGTCAGCACAGGAGAATGAACCTCAATCATGTCTAGCAGGGCAAGTCCTCATGGCCTGAGAACTAAGGTATTAGGCTATGCTGACACCTTGACGTTCTAGGACCCGCGTTTTCCTGTCCATAGGTGGACAGCTCACATTTTTCTTCAATGTCTTGCTCCCTACGTATTCGGCCTCGTTTTATTTGATTGTGTTGATATAAATGAAACGCCTGTTTTCACGGTCACCCTTCAGAAAAACCGTGTGAATTTGATGATGCCCTATTCGTCCCACTCTGAACAGCTTGAGATTCCTTAAAATTAGCGCGGTGCCTAGATTATGTCCATGCTTTTTTGAGTTGAAAATACAAGAAGCTGATACCCTGTGGTTGTACTCTTTTATCTACTGCCTTTGAAAATTTGACCGACCTGACTGGTTCCACCTCACCCAAATCTTCTAGCTTCTTTTCTACGGTAGTGAGAGCTTTACCTTTCACAAGTATAGATATTGTCTCTCACGACACCGTAATAAAACTTGTCGAACAAAACTTGTTTTAGGAGATTCCCACAGGAACAGCGGCTGCCCGAATCGCGAAATTCATGCAGAGCGTCGGCGGTGGCGATGCAGCGAATGGCGGCACAGTGCCACGGAACTTCCGTCCGTCCCCCGTACGTCTCTTTCCGATCACCAAAGAGGTAGGTAAAAAAAACTGATTTATATTCCGAAAGAGGGAATCGATACATCCCCCACACATGGCAAGATAACGAGCCAAAGCGTGATGGTAACCACTCTTTAGAAACTTGATTTGAAACAGACCTCAGCCCATGGGGGAGGAAGAAGTGAAAGGAGCCAGCGGAAGTGCAAAAATGCTCCTCCCAAGCCGAACAGCGCCCGAGAACCTGTCCAGGGAGCGTGGGATTCCGAACCTTTTCCTCACAACTAGGTTCAGATCCACGGAGTGCTTTTACAAGTACTTTGGATCAACT